TAAGTGTGCTGCTGGTTCCTACTGCCCAAGTGCAGCACCCTGCACTTGTCCGTGTTAAAACGCATCCTGTTCCTGTTAGCCCACCCCTGTAACCTATCCAGATCCCTCTGCAATCTCGCCCTCCCTGCTAGCGTGCTCACCTCCCCCCAGATTTTGGTGTCATCAGCGAATTTAAACAGGTTACTTTCCACCCCATCATCCAGATCGCTGATGAAGATAAAGACTTCAACAAAGAGTCCACAGATATGATCTCTTCCAACTTCTCAGGTACTCTTTTAATAAACTGTAAGGAATGACAGTTGTCTCCCAAGGTAGGAGTACTAGGCCTTTCTTTCAGGGCTGTTAAGCACACAGTAGGAGCATCTACATGAGATGTTACATCACCATAGCGATGAGCTATGTCACTATAGCTCCTTGCTATGGCAATGTACTACCAGGCATGAACTGTGATGCTGACGTTACTGTGCAGTATTTTATTGCTACTGCACTGTAGCTGCTAAATATAGCCATGCGGCATCTTGACTGCACAGTAATGCCGGTTACTGCGTAGTCATTTAGTACTTGTATAGCTGTGCCCACTTGCTCATACTTGTCTCATGTAGACATGCTCGCTTGCTTAAGTACTAAGTGACTGGACAGTAACAGTTGCACAGTCTGCCGCATGTGTAGATATGCCCAGTATTAGTCATACCTTTCGGTGACAGACTTCTCCTGGCTCCCAACCTAGAACAGCTTCACCTAGCCCAAAGGAGGTGAGAACCACTATGACTAATTATTAAGTCCAATCTTGCATTTTAGCTTTGTGCTGTACAAGCAACTTGAGTGGAGCCTGGGATCACATTTAGTGCAACTGGCATTTACAGAGCTTCATGGGACTGAAACCTGTTTGGTATAGATGGACTATTCAGGGCTTTTAGCAGCAAGCAAAACCTTATTTTGTACATGCACACCCATTACCCATACTTGGCTAAATCTAGATGGATTTTCCCAGCAAGTGCCAAAGGTCACAAAACTATACCTTGCCAGTGTTAGTTCCTATATGTGCCTTAAAGATGGCTGTTTCAAAACTGAAAAAAAACAGGAAAGTCATGAGTTCTTGCATGGATACAAGCAGCCTCTGAAAGAGAGCAGGTATACTCATATGAGACAGAAAACCAAAAACTGCCCAGAATATCAAAGGCTTTAAAATTAAATCCATTTTAGGTTGATAACAGATTTGCCAAAATGCCAATGGCTATTCAATGGCCACCATTAGATTAGTTGATTTGTTAGCTTTGAACATAAGTTGCTGTAAATCAGTGTAGCTCTACTGAAATCAACTGAGCTAACCCAATTTACACTACCTGAGGATCTGGCTATAAATTTAGGCCCCTGCTACACATTACATATATTACACAATTAACTGGTTAACTGCACAGTAAATTTATACCAGCCACACATGCAAAGTAAGACCCACCACAAGTGCAAAATAATTATCAAGATGTGTACTAATTTAGACCACGACTGGGTTAACCTGATCTAGGAAAGGGTTACCCAATCTCCTAACTGCCTGTATGCATTTGCAGCGAAGTACCAAAGCTGTGCTATTTTTACCATTCTGACCCAGACTGGGCTATTGTGGTGGGATCCCCACACCCACAGAATGGCTAGCACCCTCCCCCCAATTCCAGCTGCCCCTTCCCCCACCCCAAATTACTTGCACAGCTCCTGGGAATGGCAAGTGGCTGTATGTGCTGCTCCTGGTCTACGTTTAAGCAGCTTAAAGTAATCCATGTGAAAGTAGACCAGGTGCAGCAAACATCTGTACAAACCCTGAGAATTTGTTTGGAAAACAAAACTTCCTAATATGTAAAGTTTTGTTTAGATTCATTGTAGGTATCAATGTCCTTGAGAAAAGAAGTTTTGCCGTTTTTTTAGAATTAATGCCGATTGTCTTGAGAAGCAGTGCTATTTTATTTTGGTAGTTTTAATGGTAATAATATATGAATAGATGGGTTCTTTATATTCTGTAATAAAATAAGTTCTATTGTTTGTGATGGAAAAGAATTATGAATTAAAACCCAGTCTTGAAAAATACAATAGTGTTGTTCATTTTACCATTTTCCAGTACTAATAAATGTAATGAGATGTTTACCTTTTCAAAGTGATATGAAGTGATCTATGCTCCTTCTGTATTGAGACATGTGCCCTGCCCACTCCTACTCCATGCATGCCAGATTCCACAACAAGAGCTACCTTAGCGATCCTGAGAGTGGGCCCAGAGCCACTCTTTAGAACATCTGAAACATACTGCTTATTCTTTACCATTTTACTTGAATGCAAGACAAGGTTTTTTTCTCCCAGACAGCATGGGGAAAGCCCTCTCATCTCACATTCACAAACAAGGACACATCATTCAATAAATTGTCTGTCCCCCTTCAAAAAAGATGCAGATGTTCCTTCCACACTGTAACCGGGCCTGGAGGCACTGCAATACCAACCCAGCACCAGGAGAGCCAGAGCCAGCTCTGGCACCCTCCCTTTGGTGCCAAAAATGTTACATTTGATCTTAGCCAAAAAGACTGAATTGCTGATGGGAACCTAACACAAGAATAGGTTATAGTGAAGCCCATCTAAATAAAATATATAATAATGCCCATTGAACGCAGACCCCCTCAGTGGTCACTCCTTTTCAAGTCAGTGTGCTGCTACATTGCATATCTTTTGACTTCCTCTTCACTCCCATAGCTGAACTACACCTTTCTTTCCCGTTTCCAGTGATTCCTGATTCTTCACCAGGCTTAAATGTCTGGCAAATATCACAAAATGGGGCCCCAAACAGTTCACCTCTCTCATCCTGTCACATATGATTATAACAAATATATACACAGATGAGGCACAGGGCAACATGGTCTGCCCTTCAGGAGTTGGAGCTGGACCATGTTGCCCTGTGCTACATCTGTGTATACATTTTTGGAGGATCCCAGGACTCATAGCAAGAACACCCAGTTCCAGTGAGTGGGCAGCAGAGGGCAAGGGAGCTAAGTCACCCCCCACATTTATTTTCCTTGCTGTAGTAGTAGGAGGGGCACAAATTCAAGGCAAACCTCCAATAATTAGATTCTATATCTGGAAAATTATAGCAAATGTATTAATTTTCCAGATATAGAATCTAATTATTGGGGCTCATCTTGTATTCAGGTAAATTGGGTACTTACACAACTCCCATTAATGTTAATGGATCTAGAAAATCAAAGACGATTTTAATTTGGATTTATTGGATTTAGGCACTTAATGATCACTGAATAACTATAAACTTAGTGGTTTAAAATCAGATTATTATTTTGGAAAATATGGATTAGACTAAACTGTTGCTGACAAAAATATTGTCTTTACTGACATATTCTGTGGCAAGGTATTTCCTATAATTGGCTTTCCATATAAAAATACACTGCATTCATTAAGGCTTCAAGTTTATTACTTTTACCTGCAAATGTATTTTATGTACAGACCATCCTCTTAGGCATCCAAAAAAGGTGTGGTAAGGAAACCAACTGTTAAAAGTAGAATAAAAACACCTTTTGGGTAATGTGCTATCAGATGTGAACCTTGAAATAATGTAAAAAAAAAGGTGCAGGCATAATTTTTCTGAGGCTGAAGAGATGAGAAGCACTTGATTTTTGTAGGTGAGAAGTGAAATGTTCCTCTCTGATTACTGATAGAGGCATGCTAAGGTGAATTTTAATTATGACTAAATTGTGGTATTACTCTTTCATACCCTGAACATCTGTTCCCTTCAGGAATGATGATTTATGCAGGCTATCAGTGCAGACAGCTTGCTACAGCTTATGTCACGGTTAGTGGGAAGCTGGTGGTAGTATTTAAAAAAATACTATATGGAGGCAAGCCAGTGTGTGTTATTAAGGTAATAGGGAAGGGGAGCATGATGTGTCCATTTTTAATTTTGAAGCCAAATATTGACTTTTACGGTTTTCTTCTGTTTTCTTCCAGACCATCTGTCATTAATGAAGAAAATAATCTGGACAGTGAATGGTTTGGTTTTTCCTGCTGGTGTCAAGAAAAAGAAAACCAACCCTGTACTTCCCTGTGGCATGAAGAGGCTTGTTGAGAAGTCCTCACTCAGAATTTTGGCATTTAAGAATTGCACAGGGCAGGATGGCTATGAGATAATTGCAGAACAGAATCAAATTGAAAAGGTAAATTTTATTACAAAATCAAAAATATCCTGAAAATAAAATACATTTGGCCTCAAATCTCAATGTTCTTTCTTTTTATTTCAACAAATTATTTGATTAGATTATTAATTTGAGAATAGATATATTTCTAAAGCACTTAAAATATGTCTTCAAAATTACCAGAATCAAGAATCATTACCATGTTCCTAAAATCAGACAGAACGCAAAAATCCTTTTTATCAGCTAAAGACCTTTTAAGTTCTTTTGTGGATGTTTAATAGCTCCTGGGCTTTGTTAATATAGGTTCCTTATACCAATACCTGCTTAAATAATCAGAGAAATCTGTAAGTGCCTAGCTTTCAAGACACAGGGATAAAACATAAAAATCATACTGTCAGCATTCCTGTTTTTTACTCCATGTTATTTTTGAATTAAGTCTGATAAAGTAATTTTTAATTTTCACAGCCCTGGGGCCTGATTCACCTCCCACTGAGACTTTGGAAAGATTTCCATTGCGTGCAATAGACTTTGAATGCCTGAAGCATTAACATTCCAATTATCCTGTTTTGTGAATTCCATTGAACTGGTTAACAAATCTCTCTAGGACAATTGTAACTTTAAATCATTAAAATACTTCATATACAAGGAATATCATATGCAGGCTGAGAGAGAAAGATCAAACCTCTTTCTGTTTTTCTGACTATTATGGTATACTAGATAGCTTCCTACAATTGGTGTTTGATACAGACTGGTGATTTTAAAGGTTACAATATGTCCTTCATGAATCAGTGTTTACTAGAGGGGCTGTGTAATCTCCATCTTTGGAAATTTTTAAGAACAGGTTAGACAAACAGTTCTCTGGAATGCTGCAGACTGGAATAATCCTGCCTTGAACAGGGACTTGAGCTAGATGACCTCCTGAAGTTCCTTTCAGCCCTATTTTTCTGTATTTTTTTTTATTCCAAGACCACTCAGTGAGTTATAGTCTTGCTATATCCAGCCATAGAGAAGAATAAATTTAATTGGAAGCAGAAGATGTGCGTAGAAGGAATAAGAACATGTTGCTTGTTTACATGGAATACGATTGTTTCAGCTTTCTATTAAATACATTAAAATATATCTTAACTGCTCTTTATTGCTTTTCTCCATTTGTTTATTCTTTTTCTGCTTTCCATATTCCAAAATTACAGGGACTGACTGTCCCCTTTCCTTCAATTTATTTCCTCATTCTCCTTCTTTCTCTTGGTGTTTTATGTTTCACCTGTAACCTCTATTTTACCCTCTTCATCATTTTGTCTCTTGCAAGTTCTCCTTCACTTTACAGTCACAGAAGATAGCTGTGGCAGACAAATCCTAAAAGCTCTTTGTGCTCCTCTTCTACATTTTTATAACACTAGTCTGCCCTTTGCCATGAGGACAAAGCTAGCTATTATATTAGAAAACACCATAGAAATATCATTTGAATGGTGTGTCCAATATTATTTTAATATGTGTCTATAATTTGAACATATTTTTCTATAATTTGAATGGTGTGTCCAATATTATTTTAATATATCTCCATCCCTATATCTCAGCATCCCCTACAGTCACTTCAATTCATGCTAAATACCAGGAAACAGAATGGAACCCTAAAGCACATAGTAGGAGATACCTTTAGGTTAAAATCATTTTCTTTATATACTCCACTTCAGGAATCAGTTCTGCCACTTGAGAACAGTCTCATTTGCCAACCTTGTGATCAGCAACAGCTTGTCTAAGACATCAAAGACTCCTGAAGTGCTGAAACATAATCAAGTAGCAGAAAATCATCAACCACTTCAAACAGTTTCGCCACCATGGCCCTCCTTCTCTGTGACCTTCCTTACGAAAAGGTTGAAGGTGTTCACAATAAGAGGCTAGTTACAGGTATTTAAAGAAGGAGTTATATGAAGAGGAAGAAAATAGTTAAAAATGTTGGACAGCTTCTCCAAGATTATGGCCAAATTAACTCCCAAGTTGAAAAAGCCTGGGAGCCCACCAGGAGCTGGAAAAATGGTATCTCAAGGTACATATAAACCTGCAAAGCAACAATAACTTCAAAGCTTGTAGGACTTTATAGTACATTAAAAGAAATAACAGCAACAAAATTCCAAGTGCACAGATGTGAAGAAGCACAAACATGACACCTAGGTGAAAGACACGACGTAGCTAGTTTTAAATCAGTCTCTCTCACTACTCTTGAGCAAGTAGTATTCTGAGAAAGATGAGCAACAAGACAGGAACATAGCAAGAGCTGGGTTAGTGTACAATGTACTTTAGATCTTGATGGATGATGCAACCCTTTCAGAATTGTTATCTACCAGTGCACATTAGGGCACTTCTGAAGCTACTCAGGCTTGAATTAGGGAATGGAAGAGGGGAAAAAAACCTAAAGAAAGACAAAACTTCATGGATAATGTGTTTTCCTTGTTATTACATTCATTATAATTCCTTGTCAGAATAACCATTAAGTTTGGTGCATGATTATTCAGAACAATTATTATTGGGGTAAGAGACACTTCTTTATTGTTATAGATCAACATGGAATTTGTATTTTCAACATGTTTTTGATAATTGGCAAGAACACCTTTTCCTCAGAGTATTAAGCCATGTTTTTCTATATGGACACCTTGAAAAATACAGCTTAGGATCTTCAATTTAGTGGCCTGGAATTTGCATGATGTGCAAATAATGTTGTCAGTATGTTCCTTTTCTTACTTCTGTTCAGCATTTTCCTGAACAATGACTTTTCCCGGGTCAAAGTATCGCCACTTCTGTCATCAGAAAAGTAACTTGCGTGCTATCCATCTTAGACTTCTTTCAGAAAATGACAGGTAATTTCACTGGCATTACTTTTGTGACAGTTTCAGCTTGATGATTCAACTTTTTAGTGTACGTCAAAATTGCATTCAGTGTACATTATTGTACAATATGAAAATTCAACTATAGTTGATTTACATTCTCAATTACCATGGTTACTCCACAAATAGAAAAACTATGCTGATTATTAAAACGTTCATTATTAAAAAAGCATGTGTTGCACACTGATATTTAAAAGAACTCTATCAAAAATGATATATATTTGTCACGGGGTGGGGCCTAGGAGTGGCTGTGAGCCCGCTAGTGCCCCCTGCCATGCCAAATTAGGAGACCCAGCACCCTCAGGTTCCCGCCCGCCACGTCTTTGCTCTTATATAGTTTAATATGGGAGGCTGCCTTTGGTCTCCTAATTTCTATGGGTGACCTGGTGCACCCCAGCCTTATGGGCTATGCGTGCCTCCTACCTCCCCTTTAGCATGCCCCAAGCCTCGCAGCTGTTCTGGACGTTTTTGTGTCTCTGATCTATGCCCTCTCCAGGCCTTTACCCGCGCGCCCTGCCCTCTCTGGGCTCCTGTTCGCGCGCTTTTCTCCTCCTGGCCCCGATACGTACGTCCACCCCTCTCCAGGCTTCACTCGCGTGTCTGCCCCTCTCCGGGACCCTTAACCACGTGCTCGCCCTTCCCCAGGACGTCTATACAAAACCAGCACCGCTCCAATCTTATACTAGCCCTCCCCGGGCTTCACTCCTGCTGGCTGGCCCCCCCCCTTGGGCCTATGCCACGTGCTTCCCGCACTCTTGCCCTCGCTGGGGCCTGTGTCTGTGCCTCTCGCGCCCCTTGGCTCCCTCGGAACCTGCTCCCGCGCTACTCGCGCCCCTTGGCTCCCTCGGAACCTGCTCCCGCGCTACTCGCGCCCCTTGGCTCCCTCGGAACCTGCTCCCGCGCTACTCGCGCCCCTTGGCTCCCTCGGAACCTGCTCCCGCGCTACTCGCGCCCCTTGGCTCCCTCGGAACCTGCTCCCGCGCTACTCGCGCCCCTTGGCTCCCTCGGAACCTGCTCCCGCGCTACTCGCGCCCCTTGGCTCCCTCGGAACCTGCTCCCGCGCTACTCGCGCCCCTTGGCTCCCTCGGAACCTGCTCCCGCGCTACTCGCGCCCCTTGGCTCCCTCGGAACCTGCTCCCGCGCTACTCGCG